CACTATCAATAATCCAACAACACTATCAATAATCCACCAACATTATCAATAATAACAACAACATTATCGATAATCCACCAACATTATCAATAACACAATTACACCAACATTATCAATAATACAGTAACACCAACATTATCCAACAACACAAATCATAACAAATTTCAAAACTACAAATAGTTAATTGAATTGAAATTACCAGTAAGATTAGATAATGGAAGAAAATTCTTACCCAGATCTAACCGGAGAATCTGGGGATTGTGGAAAATCCTATAACAAGCAATTAAGGTGGAGAGGTAAACAAACTGGTCGGGAGGCAAAGAAAGAGGCATATACATGACATCACCCCCCCCCCCAAATTCTCTTCACGTGAAGGTGAACCAGCGCGTCGAAGCCGGCTTTGGAGCTGATGATCGGAGGATCGATCATCACTCCGTCAATGAGAAACGTATCAAGCGCCTACGCCATTTGAGATTCCAGATGAGTTCTAGAGTATTCAAGTTCACTAGGCATATAAGTGTTCTTGCCCATCAGAGAGGTGTAATCCTTCGCTGCCTGGCGGTTGGCCGTTTTCAGGCGAGAAGTATCCTTGAGGAGAGAAGTGTAACGTTCAAGAGCTTCACATCGAGTAGCCACCGCCATTGATGAGGGAAAAGAAGAGCAAAAGAAGGAAGATGGGCAAAGAAACTAGAAAAAACTAGAAGAAAAAAGTAAGGAAGATGAGCGAAGATACTAGAAGAAAAAAATGGAGAGGAATTTGAGGAAAGAGCATTTTCTCATTTCGATTAGCTTGTTGAAGGGGAAATCTTAGAGGAGAGAGAGAAAAGAGGTCGGTGCTGGTGTTATTGTGTGTTGGGTGAATGGGCTTGTTTGGTTATTTTGTTTGTTTGAAGCGTGGGCCGCAAGAAGTCATTACCCTTTTTTTTGGGTTTTGACCTTTCAATGATAACTCATACTTTCACCGTTTTTTATTTAAACATTACTCGTACAATGTTTGCATTTTTTTATGCTATTCACGTACTCGTTAGACCACATCTTGTGATATATATAGGAGAAAAATATACAGCGTAGTTATATGAGTTTCAAATTAAGCTTCTAAGGTTTAAGCTTGTTATGGTGATCACAGTTATTCCCCTAATTAACGTGTTGAGAAACATATTTGGTGTTGCTTGTTGAGTCAGGTGATACGCCCGTAAATGGTGGTGGAACTTGTACTGAAAACCTAAAAGAGGAAAAAGTTGGCCAAAAGATTTGTGGAGATGTTGGTCAACCTTTTGTGTTGACTCTTGTGACGGTGAGAATTCTACTACAAAATTGGGCTTAAGTAACACCCATTGGTATCACTTTAAAAAAATCATGATTATTTTATTTTTACGTAACACTTTTGTAACATTGTAGTATTAGGTAACATTTTTTATAACACTTTGATATTATGTAACACTTTATTGTAACACTTTGATATTAAGTAGAACACTTTTGATGCACAAACATTATAATAGAACAAAGGGAAAAATGTCTGCAAAGTTTACATCTCATGTTTACACTAGATTTTAGGATAGGCATAGCTCCTTGATCCTTTCAAATATTTGTTCTACCTAATACACATGAAAGGATGTATTAGTGTGCTACATAACATCTTAATCCTCTGATTATTTTGCATCAGATTCATTTTGGTCTGATTGAAGAATATAGGATTCACAAAGAAATTCTAAGCTTAAATCCTATTTGCCACAGAAAGCTTTAGTGAGGCTTATGCATATCCTCTTAGTTAATCTAGTTTTGAGTATACATGAAAATTAAGATAACAGTAAACATACATGATACGTATACAACCGTGTTATGACTTTTCCTAATATCCATTGCAATTGTTGTTTAAGGTTGGATTATCTCTGCAGTATGCAAGTTTGTATTCCTTGTTCCTCAATGGTGAATGAAAATGAGGTAATGGTTAATATATTCTCTTTTAAAAAGAACTAACTCTTGTTATTACCTTATTTCATTTTTTATTCTAGTTGTTTGATATATGATGCTTTCACACACACACACACATATATGTGTGTGTGTGTGTGTGATGTTTAGGGAGATAAAGAATATATACAATTTGTTTTTTCTTTTTTTTTCCCAAGATTGAAAATATTGGAGTTGTCTGCTAAGCTTGTTGTTATTGCTACTGTTGTCTCTTACTGTTACTGTCGTTTTGCTGCTGCTGCCACTTACTGCTACTGTTGTTTTGTTGCTGCTACTGCTGTTTACTACTGCCACTTCTGTTTTGCTGTTGTTACTGCTTTTTTCTGCTGTTATTGCTGTTTTTTTACTGCTACTACTGCTTTTTTACTTCTACTACAGTCTGTTGCTGAGTTTTGCTACTGTTGTTTGTTGCCACTGTTGTCTGCTACTGCTATTTTTTGTTACTACTTGATGCTACATACTGCTTGCTACTACATACTGTTGTCTACCGGTTGCTTTTGTTGCTGCTACTGCCATTCTGCTAGCTTGCTACTGTTATCTATTGTGTTACTGCTATCGCACTGACTGTTCTCACTTTTTCCAAGTTAGAAATCAAAGTTGATTTTCTTTTTTATTTGGATTATTATCTTGTTTGGCCAAACATTAAAATTGGTGTTTGTGGATTATTATTTTTTTTTTTGAAAGAATTATAATTATTTCAATCCAAATTATTATATATCATATATGTTAATTTCTCATTCATACTTGTTGTACATATTAATATTATTTTTATGTTAAAAATAATAATCAAATTATTAATAACAACAACGATGACGACAACGACGACGACGACGACAACAACAACAACAACAACAACGACGACAACAACAACAATAACAACAACGACGACAACAATAACAACGACGACGACAACAATAACGACAACAACAACAACGACAACAACAACAACAACAACAACAACAACAACAACAACAACAACAACAACAATGACGACAACAACAACAATAACAACAACGACGACAACAATAACAACGACGACGACGACAACAATAACGACAACAACAACAACGACAACAACAACAACAACAACAACAACAACGGCAATAACAATAACAATAACAATAATAATAATAATAATGATAATAATAATAATAATAATAATAATAATAATAATGATGATGATGATGATGATGATAAATGTTACATTAATTTGCAAAAAGTGTTACATAATGTCGAATAAAGTGCTACTATATATGTCAAAAGATGATTGAAAAATGTTACCTAATAATTAACAAAGTGTTCCATTAGTTCAAAAAGGTATACATAATGTCGGACAAAGTGATACTATATGATTTAAAAATGTTACTAAAGATAAGTGTTACATAAGAAATAAAAAGTAACACTTTTAAATTGATACTAATAATATAAAAAGTGTTACATAAGAGGGTTTATAGTATCGCTATTGAAAGTGTTACCATACATTACCCAAAGTGTTACATTAGACCTTAGGGAACATGGGCGGAAGTATCACCCAATAAAGTGTTACCTATTGTCTATAATAACACTTTGACCACTTTATGTAAAACATTTTGGGTGTTACCTGAGGTTAGTTTTGTACTAGTGGAATAATAAAAAAAAAACGCCATCCTCTTGAAAAATATGCCAGTGATATAAGACTTTTTTTCTTGAAAATTTTTTACTCTATTATGTCTTCACTCTTTCATTAATGAACCTTTCCTTTTTTTTTCAATAACTCGTACTTTCTCCGTTCTTTATTTAAACATTACTCGTACTATGTTTGTATTTGTTTTTTATGCTGCTAGTCATAAAATTAAATTTTAATTAATAAAAACTAATTATATATTTTCCATGTCGTCACGTCACACATATATATTTACACATTTTGTCGCTTTCATATAAAAAAGGTGCATTAGAAATAAATGAGGGGTAAAGGTTAGTTTATTAAAAGATAATTCAAAGGTTAATTCACAAGTCTTAGCTAAAGCAAGAAAAGAGGACACAAAGAGACTAGTTATTTATTAGTTGCGATCTCTTTTCTAAAACCGCTAATGGTAATAGCGGTTAGTTGTAGTTTAAAAACCGCTATCACCAATAGCAATTTAAGAAAAGAGACCACACCTAACTAATAGCTATTCTCTTTGCGTCCTTGGTTAATTCACAAGTCTTAGCCTAAAGGTAGAAAAGAGAACGCTGACAATTATACTAACAAATTCAAAGAGACCGCCTTTCAATAAAAACAGGTCTCTTTGACTTTATTTAAAAAAAATTGCAAAGCCGCTAATGTCGTTAGCGGTTTTAAACTGAATCGAAAACCAATCCTAAATGGAAGGTATTTTGGGAATTTGTTTTTGAAACGAAGCATAATAGGAATTTATTTTTATTTCAACAATATTAAGGAAAATCGTTCTAAATTTTCTAGTGAAAATATTTTAAACATGTCAATTATTTAGGAATGGAGGGAGTATTGAATTGAAATTAACTGGATTGTTGTACTTTTTTTTTTCTTTTTTTTTTTGAAGAAAGCTCCCGAAGAGAAACTAATTTTAATTCATAGGAAGTTCATTGTTCACCAATGATATAATATTACTCGGAAAATTCGACACCCAAACCCGACATCCTGCCTTCCATGGCAAACAATGAGCAAGCTCACGAGGCACTTTATTTCCCTCCCTACGAACAAAATTCCAATGCACACAATCAAGAAAACTACTAACATAATAAATATCATCTAAAATAAGATGTAAATTACTCCCTCCCTTTTCTTGTAACTTAATGGCGTTAATTAACCCAAGGCAATCACTCTCAATCACCACCCTCTTGAGACCATGGTTCACAGTAGCTTGAATCCCAAAAGGCAAGGCTTTTGCTTCAGCAATATCCGGCGGCCAGCGATCCTCCACCATCCAAGCAGCAACCAACAACAGCGAGCAAGTCTCGTCCAGCACCACTGCCCTTGCACTCGACCCTACCCCAGCCATTCTCCCCCCGTCAACATTTAACTTTACAAACCCCTACCCAGGTGGACACCATTTCTGTTTCGCTCTTCCACCTATGCTGACTAGCTCGCCCTCTTCCCCCTTCAATTCACTCATTAGCTTAGTCGCATACTCCAATGAATGTTGTAGATTGCAAGCTTCGCCCTCAAAAATCCATTTGTTCCGAGCCGCCTAAATCAGCTAACAAATTATCATAAATAGCCCATGTTCTGATCTCGGAAGACATTCAAAGCAAACCGCAGCCATATCCCCAAAGGTGCGAAAACAACCTCCCACATCCATCAAGAAACCACACGTATCCCACATCATTCGAGAAATCACACATTCCTTCAAGCAGTGAAGTTCAAATTCATTCTCAACTTCACATAGCGAGCAAATTGTACTCCTTCCTGGCAAGCGTTTCCCCAGTCCCACCAAAATGGGTAAGGTTCCCCTACAAGCTCTCCAAAAGAAGAGCTTTACCCTTGGCAAAGCAGTAGTATACCACAACTTGCTCCAGAATTCGTAGAGTAAGAAGAGGCAGCATGCAGCATCATTCGCATCAAGCTCCCCAAATATCGCCCAGTAAGCAGACCGCACCAGCAGCATCATTCGCATCAAGCTCCCCAAATATCACCCAGTAAGAAGGCCGCACCGAATATGCACCTTTCTTAAGATCCCAACAAAGAGAGTCCTCTGGCAGTCTGGAACTAATAGGAATGCTCAATATTCGCTCACATTCAAAAGAAAGAAAGTGCTCCTTGATCACCGCAGCATTCCCTAGTAGAGCCAAATTGAAAGATTTGAAGTCCCGAAAACCCAAACTCCCTTTCTCCTTAGGCTCACATAATATAATTTCTTCCAAGCAACCCAGTGAATCTTTCATAAAAAGAAGACGGGAATCTAAATGCCCTCATCGCGTAGGTCGGAATACATTGGGCCACTGCCTTAATCAAAATCTCCCCACCTGTCTTAGATAAGAAACCCCCCTTCCAACCTTGGATTCGACTCCATAACTTATCCCTAATACCCTTAGTAAGCACCCTTTTTGACCTCCCCACTACCGTGTGTAAGCCAAGGTACTTGTCATGAACATCCACCACCTCCACACCAAGCAAACTTGCCAGCTCCACCCTCCTTTTGTCAGCAACCCCCTTATTAAATGAGACCGTGGTCTTCCCAAAATTCACCATTTGTCCGGACGCTATCTCATAGGTATGCAAAATATCCCGGATAGAATTAACTTCCTCAACATTAGCCTTCGAGAAAATCACACTATCATCCGCAAAAAACAAAAGGGAAATAGGTAGTGTCAAATGAGTCACTTTAACTCCATGGAGCTGACCCATTCCCACCGCCCCAGACAACAAACCAGACAGAGCCTCGGCACGTAAAATAAAGAGATACGGGAATAGAGGGTCACCTTTTCGTAAGCCCCTAGTAGGAACAAACTCCCCCGAAGGTGCCCCATTTATCAAAACTAAAAAAGAGACCGTTGAAATGCAATGTAGAACCCGCTCAATCCATAGCTCTGCAAACCCCATTTTTTTCATAACCGCCTCCAAAAAAACTCCTCTCCACTCTATCATAGGCTTTTGCCATATCCAATTTCGAGGCCATCGAACCATTCTCACTTCCGGAATTTTTAATGTGATGGAAAAGCTCAAAAGCAACCAAAATATTATCTGTAATTAATCTCCTTGGAATAAATGCACTCTGATTGATGGAAGTAATATCAAAAAGAAAAACTTTCAGACGATTAGCCAACACCTTCGTAATCAGCTTATACACCACATTGCACAAACTATTATAAAAAGTATGATTAATAGTTTCCGGAATAATAGCACCATTAAGAACACTAAGAACCAGAGTAGTAACCGCAGGGCCAACAATATGCTAATAAGTTTGAAAATTAGAGGACACATACCATCCGACCCCGGCGCTTTCGAGGGATGCATTTGTTCCAGAGCTACAAGAACCTCTTTCACCGTATAAGTAGCACATAAACCGCTATTCATATCATCAGTCACACGATGGTCAACCCCGACAAGAGCATCATCAAAATTCGAAGGGTTAGATGAGGCAAATAAATTTTGAAAATAATTAATAGCTACCCCACGAACTCCCTCCTCCTCCTCCTCCTCGTACTTTATACCATCCTCTGAGTATAGATGAGAGATCCTATTTTTGCTGCGACGTTGGGATGCCTTTTAATGGAAGAAGCTAGAATTTTTATCACCCACCTCTAACCAAAGAGCTCTAGACCATTGACGCCAATAGATTTCCTCCTTGTGCAGCAAATCATTAATTTCACGCACTACCTTTCTCCGTTCTTTAACCCACGCCTCAGACCTATCCCCGTTATTCAACACTCCCAACCTTTTTCTTTTCTTACAGATCTCTCTGAAAATCTTGCCAAATTCCTTGTCACTCCATGTCCTCAATTCTACAGCACATATAGCAAGCTTGTTCTCAAGTAGAACACCCCTCTGCCATGCGTTTGAGATTACCCCTTCACAGCATCATGCTCGGTCCACAATTGCTCAAAACGAAACGGTTTCTCGCCTATATTTTTGTTCGAATTTTCCTTCCCTTCAAGATTCAAAATAATTGGGGCGTGATCGGATCACTCCCTCTCTAGATGAATCAGTTTTGCTCTCGAAAACAAGGTCATCCATGATTGAATAACAAGAGCACGATCAAGGCGACATTGTACATTATCGACCGCAAATTGTCCATTATCATAGGTAAATTCATACCCCGAAAACAGTACATCAATCAAGCTACAAAGATCAAAAGCTTCACGAAAATTGTCCATTTGCCAAAGAGCTCTATCATGACCTCCCTTTTTCTCCGAGTCAGAGAGAATTTCATTAAAATCCCCAATACACACCCAAGGTCCATCATAGTCAAGCGCCAAATCTAATAATAATTTCCAAGAAAGATGTTGATTGTGGACTTCCGACCATCCATAAAATCCTGTGAGCCTCCACTCTTCCGAACCCAACCCCCTCTTGATCAACATATCCACATGATATACTGACATAGAACGTAACTCTACATTAATGTCCTTCCATAGAAAAGCAACCCCTCCCGCTCTCCCACAACTATCCACCGCCAACCCCTCATAACCAACAAACTTCGATCGAATTTTAACCATTTCTCCACTACTCAACTTCGTCTCCATAAGGAATATAAGAGACGGGGCCTCTCTTCGTATTAAGAGGCTGTTTAGTTCACCTGATTTTAGCTGATCTGATCTGATCTGAACTTATTTTTTCTGATCTGATCTGATCTGAACTTATTTTTTCTGATCTGATCTGATCTGAACTTATTTTTTCTGATCTGATCTGATCTGAATTTATTTTTTCTGATCTGATATGATCTGATCTGAACTTATTTTTTCTGATCTGATATGATCTGATCTGAACTTATTTTTTCTGATTTGACCTTATTTTAATTATTTCAATATTCTACTTTTAATGTTAATCAATATTAATGTTTAATTATTATTGTTATTATTATTATTATCATTATTATTATTATTATTATCATTTAATTTATATTATATTATTATTATTATATGATATTATATTACTATGATATTATATTATTATTATTATTATATTATATTATATTTTATTATATTATTATTTTTTTTTTTTTTTTTATATTATATTATATTATATTATATTATATTATATTATATTATATTATATTATATTATATTATATTATATTATATTATATTATATTATATTATATTATATTATATTATATTATATTATATTATATTATATTATATTATATTATATTATATTATATTATATTATATTATATTATATTATATTATATTATATTATATTATATTATATTATATTATATTATATTATATTATATTATATTATATTATATTATATTATATTATATTATATTATATTATATTGTATTATATTATATTATATTGTATTATATTATATTATATTGTATTATATTATATTATATTGTATTATATTATATTATATTATATTATATTATATTATATTATATTATATTATATTATATTATATTATATTATATTATATTATATTATATTATATTATATTATATTATATTATATTATATTATATTATATTATATTATATTATATTATATTATATTATATTATATTATTTATATTATATTATATTATATTATATTATATTATATTATATTATATTATATTATATTATATTATATTATATTATATTATATTATATTATATTATATTATATTATATTATATTATATTATATTATATTATATTATATTATATTTATATTATATTATATTATATTATATTATATTATATTATATTATATTATATTATATTATATTATATTATATTATATTATATTATATTATATTATATTATATTATATTATATTATATTATTATTACTATTATATTATATTATATTATATTATTATTAAATAATAATAATATATTATTGTTAATGGAATTGTTTCTAAAATTTCAAAAGGTGAGATTGTTTCTGGAAGATGGAGCAAAGGTGTGATTATTAGATTTCATTTTCCTTTTTTTTATTTAAGCTTTTATATTTAACTTGTTTAGGGCGTTTAAGTGTTTTTTTATTCATTTGTTCCTCTATTGAACCTTTTTTTATTCATGCGTGTATGGTTGTGTGGAATGACACATTGACCCGTTTTAACCCGTCAAAACCTGAATTTAACCCGACTTGAATTCAACCCGACCTATTCCTAACCTGACCCGAATTTAACCTGACCTATTACTAACCCAACCTGAATTTAACCTGACCTATTACTAGCCCGACCCGAATTCAACCCGATCTATCATTAACCCGACCTGAAATCAACCCGACTTATTATTGACCCGAATTAACTAGCAATCTAGGATTACGTCATTTTTTTTTTCTTTCCCTAATTCTATGAGTTATTTTCCTATTTAAGCTTATTCAAATATTTTCAAAAAAAATCTCTATTATCAAATGTATTATAATTTACGTCTCAAAAAAACCTATGAAAATTTATGAATACCACTACTTTTTGGATGCATGTGCATTCTTTATTCAAATTTAGTAATTATTATTTATGAATACTACTACTTTGTAGGTGCATGTGCATTAATGTAGTCAACCCGAAATGATCCGACCCGAATTAATCCGACCCACACTTCACAATTGGCAATTATGGTTGCTACATTCACACTTCACAATTTTATTCGATTACATGAGTTGGATATACCCATTGATAGTGGTATAGAAATCGAACCAAGAGCAGATTATGATTTGTTTAACGAGAATCGTAAATCTGTAATGAAAGAAGTACAACTTAATATAGCGAAGGAAATTTGGAACTTCTTGTAATGAAAATTATATTTGTAAACATTTATGATTTGGAGCTTATAATGAAATTTTAATTATTATCGTTTATTGTTTGTGCTATTTAATAACATAGACAATGTTGCTACTTCAAACAAACGATAAAATCAAATCCGATACATCATAAATCAATAATAATAATAATAATAATAATAATAAAAATAATAATAATAATAATAATAATAATAATAATAATAATTTGATCTGAACTTATTTTTTCTGATCTGATCTGAACTTATTTTTTCTGATCTGATCTGAACTTATTTTTTCTGATCTGATCTGATCTGAACTTATTTTTTCTGATATGATCTGATCTGAACTTATTTTTTCTGATCTGATCTGATCTTAACTTATTTTTCCTGATCTGATCTGATCTGAACTTATTTTTTCTGACCTGAACTTATTTTTTCTGATCTGATCTGATCTGAACTTATTTTTTCTGAAATAAGTAAAAATAAGGTGAACTAAACAGGGCCTAAGTTTCGGAAATTACTAACTGCAGAGGTTGCCCAACCCTCTACAATTAATACTTAGGATACTCATTGAGCTTGGCAGGACTGCTCATCGACAGTCTCCGCCCTTCACCATCCAATTGAAGAAAAATCTGTCAACACCTTCTTTGAAATAGTCTCCGAATTCACCAATTCATCATCAACTTCCCTGCTTGTAATACCCCGTATTTTTATACGTATTTTAATTTAAAAAAGTATTTCTTAAAGTATTTAAATAATTCGAAATGAATTATTTATGATTTTTATTAATTTAAAAAGAATTATCTTAATTAAAATTTTATTTTTAATTATTTAATAATTTTGAAAATATTTTATTTTATGATTTGGAAATATTGGGGCATATTATTTTATAAAAATATAATTTTTAAAGTCAGTGGTATTTAAGGAAAGTCAAAATACTAGTTTTACTAGAAAAGGGATCATTAAGAGTAGTAAGGAAATTTTAAATAGGAGGGATATGAGAGGGGGTATAAATACCCATCATATGTCTAATGTGGAGTGCACCCAAAGGTAAACTCTCTCTCTCTCTCTCTCCTCTTATTTTCTTTTCCCCTCACTTTTTCGCCTTCCCCTTATTTTTTTTAATGTATTTCAATCACCACACACACGCCACCACAAATCGGTCGGCCACCACCACACGCCGCCACCACCGGCGCACGCCGGTAGTGGCGGCCACCAAGCGGGCGCGCGGCAGCCGCCCAGCCATGGTGGTTCGTTCGCCATATTAAAAAAATATATTTTTTTTTTTCTTTTTGATTTTTAATTCAATATAGCCTAGATCTAATTATTGTTTTTGGGTTTTGTGATGATTTTAGGATGTTTGATGATAAGTATTTTGTATATAAATTTTTAGATTTGGTTTTGAATTAAAAAGCCCCAAATTGAAAACCCTAGGTGTCTAAATTAATGTTTATTGATGGAATTTGATTCTGGTTAATTAAAACTATGGAAATAAGTGTTTTAAGCTAAATTACAGCAAGTTTATAAATTTTAATAATGCTGGAATTTTTATATATAACCTATAATTATGTTTCTTGAAAGGATTTTTAATTACCCATTAATTGGGACTAAAAGTAAGAGTTTTAAATAAAATTTCAGCTTGTTTAAGAGGGTTTATGAGTGATTTAAAGAGTGTATATATTGTTGGAAATTTGTGTGAAAGAGGTATTAATACTTCTTTGTAATTTTGGTTTATAGGAGACTTTCAAGTGAGTGATTTTATTTAGTCGTGGTGATTTTGAGATCATATTCAAGGTACGTTCGCGTACTTAGTAATTATTTGAATATGTCGAAGCATGCTAGGCTTTGTTTAAATTAATTCCAAGTAGTATCATGGTAGGTGATGATTGGAATTTGTTGATTGGATTGATGTTGGTGAATGATTTGTGATGTGTGAATTATTTATGGTGAATTGGTGATTGGAATGAATTATATTGGTATGTTGATTATGAACCACACTTTTATTATTGGCATGTGTAGTTAAACTAAATGATTTGTGATGTGTGAATTATTTATGAAAAGGGAATTTAGTTTAACTACACATAATTTGGTTTAACTAAATGTCCAAATTATGAACCAAATTATGAAAAGGGAATTTAGTTTAACTACACATAATTTGGAATGAATTAAACATTTAGTTTAACTACACATAATTTTGTGATCATGAACCAAATGATTTGTGATGTGTAAATTATTTATGTTTAATTGGTTTGGAATATGAAAAGGGGATTTTATTATGGTTCATATAATTTTTATTGATGCTATAAACATGAGGAATGAGCTATTTAAGTGTTTTAGTACATAGGAATAAATTATATTGCGGTGCTTAAGTACACGTAAGGTGTTTCTAACATCGAGGGACAGGATTTGTGGCGCATTATGCGTTTAAGGTATTTTTGACACTGAGGTAGATTAAAAAGGGTTCAACTATTAAACTTATGTGGTCACTAATTGTTCAAGAATTAAATTGGTATGTTTGATTGCTTGAATGAATTATAATGTTTGATTGTATTATGATTTGAGAGTCATCACCAAATATAATAATATGTAAACAACGTAAAGTGAAAGAGATTACACACCAAAACTCTTGGAACGTATATACCTTGAGTATGAACATATGGGGGGAGTTATGGAGTTTTATATTTAACCATGACTTCTACTGGGAGTATAAGACGCTGCATTTTTCTTTTTTACTTATCTTATGCGCAAGACGTCCAGTCACTTCATGTGACATTTGCCTACCTGGTTAGCTCCCAGTGTAGTTTACCTCAATTTATTGAGGCAGGGATTTGGTTGGAAACCCTTTCGATGTGTAATCAAAATTAAATGAAAATTGGGGTTTGTCTAGTTAAGTGTTGAGTGTTTTGTATGTTTGTAAACAGGTGCAACAAGGTATGTTGTGTGATGATAGGATGAAAGCATATTAGTGTGTTTTATTACGCTTATGTACTCAGCATTGCTGATTGTGTGTTTGTATGTTTGTTTGGCCTTGTCTTTATCTTGGCCCTACGACGACCCATTTCTAATAGCGAGTAGTGGGGACAAGTAGAGAGAAGCTTTACAGGTGGTGAAGCATATTCATGATGGGCTTGAGTGAAGAGCGAATCATGCTTAGTTCTCATAGGAATATGATGTGTTTTATTTGTTTTGAATATTATTTATTTTATTCTGTCCATGAGACTAATACAAAAGTTTTTTTATATTGTTTGATTTTGAGGGCCTATAATGGTTCTAAGTTGTAGGTTGACTTTGTTTGACTTAATTTGACTTTTTAAGTTGATTTGTTTTTAAATGATTTTAAATATAGTCTTCCGCTGTGTGTGTCTGATATTTGCCGTGTAAACCGTAAATGTAACTGCTACTCCCCATTATTGACTTTCTACCTACTTTATCTCCTAGATTCCCTATTAGCCTATTTTCTTTTCTTTTTTTTCCTAATTTTTTTTAATAAACCTAGGTACTAAGAAGTACTATAACAAAGTAAAACTTGCAAATCATGGAGTATAATTATCATCAATTGGCTATTGGGATTTAGGAAGACAAACAGTAGTACTTTCGCACTGTATCAAGTATCAACTATCAAGACTCCAAAGGTAAATTTTAATGCTTTATGTTGTGCATAATGTGCTTCTTCTATGAATTTCTAATTGATGTTTGTAATTCTAATTTTATAAATTTTTAATTTTTTCTATGAAACATGTAGTGTTGTTTGTGTAATTTTAATGAAATATTAACTTGGATATTCATATTTGTTTATGAGTTTATATGATTTGTGAGTTGTGACGACGAATAAATTTATTTTATGTTAAGAGGAAAATAGCAAAGACCTTTAGTATAAAGTCAATTATTGATGATTTTAGATTGTTAAAAGAACGACGTGCATTACTTTAGTTGTTGGTTTCAGAATGGGATAGTGACACTTTTTAATTTAATAATTATAGTGATTTTTTAATAGATTTGATAATATTAATATCAATTGTTTAAATCACTCAAGTTCTATATACTTTGAATTTATATGTAGCAAGTTTAATTTTGGTCGGCCCCCTAAAGAAAAATTTTCAAGATCCGCCACTGTTTATATCCCTATGCATAAGCAAATATGTATGAGTCTTAGATACTGATGTACAATTGTGATTTCACATTTCACTCCTCTCAATCTCTGCATCTCAAACAGAGACCCTCTGGAAGAGGAAAAAAAAAGATGATTCTAATAAGATCCTATCGAATTATTTTTCTGATTATTTTTACTGAACTGAAACAATTTTTTATTGAATATTTTCCTTACAGATGATGATATAATTCACAAAAGACGGTTAAAAGGAGGGGGTGCCTGGGTGGTGAATAGTCTAAAACTTAAAGTTCCTCAAGTAAAAACGAACAGAGAAAGTAGTAATTTTTTTTATTTTATTTTTTTTGAGGGAAAGAAAGTAATTAGTTGAAGATATGAATATATAGTGCAAAAATTAAAGTGATGCACTTAAAATAAAAATTAGATAGAGTAGTTGACTAGTTGTATGTGTGTAAGACACCCATGAAAATTTCACTCCTCTTAATCTCTGGTTCTCAAACATGTAGACCGATAGACAAGATAGTACCAATACATAGTGTCACAATGTTTACCGGTTTTGATGAAATAAAGTTTGTATTAGTACCAAATTGTGTAACATTGCACTATTGCAGCGTAGGTCATACAGTTCACTTTCAGCCTTGCAGGCTGCAACACTTGTCTGTTGCAGCAAATGTATCAATGTATGGATACAGAATCATAAATCTAAATCACAAATTCATTACCAAAAAAAAAAAAAGAAAAAAACCAGATGATCCTAGATCTTTTATCAATAACCCACAGAAAATATATAAACCAATTTTTTTTAATGTCAAAAAGGAATTTCATGATTCATGGGGTTTCATATTGTTTCAATTTATTTTAGTGTCTAAACTCAAAACAAGACTCAGCCATATGACACCCCGAAATACAAATGCGTTACGGTCCAGTAAGCATAGACATATCTGTATGAGTCTCATCAGATACCCATGTACATTTCACTCCTCTCAATCTTTGCTTCCCAAACAGAAACCCTCTGAAAATAAAACCTAAACCAAAACCAAAAAAAAAAAACAAAAAATCCAATAATCTGGAGTATTTCATAAACCAATCAAGCAAGCATCTTCACCAAATCACTGTATTCCACCGTTTTCTCTCTCCTCCCCTTCACACTTCACAATTCCCACTTTCTCTCTCTATCTCGGGAATAACAATGGAAGGGGTTTTGGAGGAGCCTTTACCACCGGACGATCTACGATGCAAGAGAACCGACGGTCGTGATTGGCGCTGCAAACGCCCTGTTGTTGACGGCAAATCCTTCTGCCTCTCTCACATCTACCGCGGCCAAAAGCAACGCAATCCCTCTTCTACTCCCAACCCTAATCCCAAACCCAAACCCGAACCCAAACCCAAACCTCGGATTCGGATCCGCCTTCCTGTCAAACCCGAACCCATTGACGACGTCGTTTTCAGCCCACCGCCGCTTAACCAAGCTCCCCCGCCGGAATTTGACCCGGTTCCTCCGCCGCCGGTGGTGGGTCCGGTGCCGGTGACGGTACCGGACCATTTACGGTGTCATAGGAATGATGGGCGGAGTTGGCGGTGTAAGAAGCAGGTTTTGGAAGGGCAAACTCTTTGTGAGATTCACTTTAATAAGGCCAAGGCCCAAAATCAGAGACGGCCCATAATGCGGAGGAAGAAGAAGGAGGAGGGGAGAAAAGATGGGCCTGGCCCGATGCCGGAGGTGAGAGAAAATGGGCTTGGGGTTGGGCCGGTGCCGGAGGTGAATGTTAGGTGTGGGAAAAAACAGGGGAATTCTAAGGGGAAGGGGAACGCAGGTGGGGTTGTGGTGGCAATGGCGGTGCCGGAGAGTTTACGGTGTGCTCGAAACGATGGCCGAGATTGGCGGTGTAAGAGTAAGGTGGTGGAAGGGCAGGATTTCTGTGAGGCGCATTTTAGTAAAATTAAATTAAAGGATTTGGTTGAGGAGGAGAAGAGTAAGAAGGGTAATAAGAGGAAGAAGAAAGCTAAGGGTGGTGATGATTTGGAGCAAGGGGCGGTACCGGTGGCAAATAAGGAGGTGGTGATCAAAGTGGAGAGGGAGGATGATTTGGGGGTGGGAATGGAGGTGGAGAAAGGGAATGTGGTTAGTGAGAAGGTGGTGGTGGAGAAAGAGAATTCGAAACGAGTCGTGGAGGAGGAGGAGTTGAGGTGTAAGCGGACCGATGGGCGAGGATGGCGGTGTAAGAGGAGGGTATTGGAGGGGAAGACATTGTGTGAGATACATTATGAGCAAGGGAGGTTGAGGCAGATGAGAATTACAGTTCCTGAAGAATTGAAGCTTCAGAGGGGTGATGGAGGGGAGAAAATTGAGAAGAAATTGAAGAGGAAAAGGGAATTGGAAACGCTGGAGAATAATTCCGATAAAGGGATGAAGCGAATGAAGGCTGAATTGATTAGGGTGTTCTTGAGAAGGGAGATTCTTGAGAGTAAGAAGAAGAGTGAAAAACGTCCTGAGGAGTCAGGGGAAGTTACTAGGGACTTGCCTTATGGGTTAATGGCAATCCCTCCTGCTCCCAATACTCAGTTACTTGACAATGCTGGCTCTCTGGGGATCAAAATCGGTGCACATTGTTCGAATTCTTTGGTTAACAGGCGTTTTCGGTCTAAGAACATTGAGCCCCCTCCAATAAGCTCTTTGAAGGTTGTTACTTTTGGTTTTTAATTTTTGTTCTGTTTTTTGTTAGTTTTTGTTTGATATATAGTGTTGAGTTTTGCTTGTTATGTGCTTTTATTTATTTATTAGGTTGTGCCTTATCCTGGGAATGTTGAGAAAGTAAGGAATAATGGAAGGAAGAAATGCCATTGGTGTCGGAAGTTTGATAATTTGTGTTTAATCAAGTGTTCAAGCTGTAAGAAGCGATTTTTTTGTTCTAATTGCATTAAAGAGAGGTACATTCTGTTGATTTTACTCTTTTTTCAGATAGAATTAAGTGCAATTTCAGCTTAGGTTGTTGATTCATCTCTTCCAAAATAAGTAGCTTAAGTTGTTAGCTTTTGTTTTAATATTTAGAACTGGCTAGCTATGTAATATTAGACATTAGTGATAGCCCTGATAGTACATTTTAAAGTTTAGGTGATAATGGTGATATGGTATAAGAAAAGTTGGTTAGATGGAGGCATAACTTGGAGTGGATTTGGGAGAGTCTTTCACTTGATTTATTTCAGTCTCAATATTTTGTTATGGAATGTTTGTTATAAGCCATTATGACAGTGCTCTGGTCAGTTCTGTTTATGGATTTCCATATTGCAAGAGAACGCGAAATTTCTATAATTAGAGGTTCGAATGTGTCCTTCAACCTTAGAATAAATCTTTTATGTAAGTACTTTCTATGCTTATACTGCAGCATCTTTGCAAATTTAATAGACCATGGATGTATTCTCAAGCCATTTATGTTAAAAATGTGCTTAGTTGGTGATGATTGGAAAACAACCAGGAATTACTCAAAATTAAAAGTTAAGAGGAAAAGCATTATGATGGATCTATAGTATTTGGACAATCAAATTGTTGATGCACTCTGAAACTGTAATTGTATGACATCTTTTGATGCAACTTTTAATATTTCCCATCAACATAAATTTGTGATTAGGGCGTTTGTCTGTGTTTAGTACTTACACATTAGCTTCTATACATGCTATCAAAAAATTAGCTTTATTTCGTGATTGATCAATCAGCATCTATTTCATCTTGCTTTATGCTTCAGATCTGCTGACACTGAAGAGGTTAAATCGAGATGCCCAGTTTGTCGTGGAAGCTGCGATTGTAAGGCCTGTAGCTCTTCTAAATCAAAAGATACGGGTGGCAAGGTTGACGGCAAACTCTTATCTGTTTTATTTGGGACGCTTGGGAGGGGGGTGTTTATAATACTGTTTGATTATAAGTGTGCTGAGCGTTGACATCTATTCTCAAACTGCTGTAGGTAGTTATGAAGGTGAAATGCAAGCGAAGCAAATTTCAACACTTGCAGTATTTGATAAATTTCCTTCTTCCTATTCTTGTACAAATCAATGAGGAGCAGAGTGCTGAAGTGGAGATGGAGGCGAAGGTCAAAGGTATGGTAGGTCATGAATGTTGAATTTTGGTCTGTGCTTCTCAAATCTAAAGTTCCTTCATATGTGTTTCTCCTTTCTGAAGCAATAAATTTTGACAGGGCAGAATCCCTCTGATGTTGAGATTCGACAAGCTGACGTTGGCTGCAGGGATCAGTGCTGCTGGTATGTGATTTATTGATCTACGCTTGATTAGAAATGCATATTTTGTAAATAATTTGTATTTCAGTCTTTGATAGCTGCTTCACTGTCTTACCCCTGGATCAGCAATAACTGCAAAAGCCCAATATTGGATATCCACAGAAGCTGCCCGAATTGCTCATACAACCTTTGCTTCAGTTGCTGTCGAGAATACTCTCAGGGTGGATCTCTTAAGGGCACATACCCTAACAGAGCAGAAACACTTTCTCCTTGTTTGAAGAAGTGCTCAGATAATGTAGCAGACCTTGCTGCTTCTGGCCCTATACTGGACTCAACATCTTCTGTCCATATATCATGTCCACCTATGGAGCTTGGTGGTTGTGATAATAGCCTCCTTGACTTGAGATGTATATTCCCATTAAATTGGACCAAGGAACTGGAAATTAGTGCAAAAGAAACAGCTTCTGAACATGACTCTCTACATACAAATGGTGTTGTGCATTGTTCATCGTGTGTCAGCATCTCTCAGGGAGGCGATAAAAGTAAAGAATTGGCAGCTTCTAGCCGGAAAGAGTCTGATGACAACCTCCTTTACTGCCCTAGTATGTCTGATGATCATGACTGTCTGCTTTCTCACTTCCAGAAACGTTGGCGAAAAGGACATCCTATAAAGATCCGTAATGTGCTTCAGTGTGTATGGGGCTTGAGTTGGGACCCACTAGCTATGTTTTGTGGTTATCTAGAAAATGGCCTTAGTAATTGTAAAAACTTGAAAGGTCGTAGTGAAGCTACGAATTGCTCAGACTCATATGATGTTGAAATTGGTACGAGGGAGTCATTCACCGGATCCGTAGAGGAAGGATATATGCACAAACACCGTGAAACACTTGCAGTGAAGGCAAAGATTTCCTCAGATTTTTCCCGGAAACTCTTAGAAGGATATTATAGTGAGATTATTCGTGCCCTACCTCTTCAAGAGTACACAAACCCTGGAATGGGACTTCTGAATATTGCTGGGAAACTGCCAGAGGATTTTCCAGATTCTAAACTAGGTCCACATGTATGCATCTCATGTGGGAGCAGGGAGGAAGTTGCGCGGGGCGAATTGTTGACTAAGCTGTGTTGTAACTCTTATGATCTGGTGGGTTTTTTTTTTTTTTTTTGATAATCTATATGCCTGTCAGTTCTTGTCAACATTGTTTACTGTTTGAATATTTTGATGGCTTAAGCTTAGTTCATTTGACTACGTGAGTGTTTGTTCTTTTTAATTTTTATCCTTCAGGGAACTATGGTTGGGTTTGGGTAGGGAATATAGGACATTTTTTGTTTTATATTTAAATTGAGAGTGAGCATCTAGAAAATTGTAGTACTTTAGTTAATTTCTTGTAATACTAACAATATGCATTTAAATAATTTCACCTTTGAACTTGTTCTCCTTGGTGTTCTTTTGCAGGTGAACATCCTAGTACATGTGGGTGACGCACCATGTTCCTCAGAGCAGTTCAATAAGATTAAGAAGCTAATAAAACGAAATAGTAACACGAAGGATAAAGGTAGTCAGGCTTCTGATAAAGATCTGGATAATGAGACCAGAGTAATGCATAGTGAGATTTCAGTTGAAGCAGGAGAGTTGCATAGAGTAGCTGGTGCTTCTTGTTGCTCAGCAGCTACAAATGGTGCTTCTGCTGTCAAACATCTCCCGAATAATAAATCTTCGCCTGCAAAGTTAGTTAACAGTTCTGATACTGATTCTGATGCTTCAATGATTTGCTCCAGGACGAGTCAAAGTCCTGAAAAAGCAGTAGATCAGATACCTCAGTTGGATAGTTTGGGGGATCTCAATTTGACAGATAAAAGTCCCCCTCCAGGGCCTTCTGGGGCCCAGTGGGATGTCTTCCGCCGACAAGACATCCCAAAGCTCCTAGAATACATTACAAAGCATGTGGATGAATTGAGGTTCAGCTATGGCGTTTCAGATAATGTGCGTAAAGCCTGCTTAGAATTCTTTTTTATTTTTTATTTTTAGTTCAAGTGATTAATCTGCTATTCTTCTCCCCCCCCCCCTCTCTTTTTCCCCGCTGATTCTGATCTTTGGAACTTTCTTGCAGGTAGTTCATCCAATTTTTGATGGAAGTTTCTATCTTGATGCAGATCATAAAATGCAGCTCAAAGAGGAGTTTGGTAATTTTTCACTTTACAGCCATTTTGTTTCTGTTTTCTTTCTTTGGTGACCTGCCATCATTATGGTTTTTTTATTTCAGAGATTGAACCTTGGTCCTTCAATCAACGCCTTGGCGAAGCAGTGTTTATTCCTGTCGGATGTCCATACCAAATAAAAAACGTCAAGGTAAGCTGCTTTTGTAGACCTGAGAGTAATTATTATTAGTTAGCAACATGCAAGAATTCGTGCTTCAAGGTGTTTCTGATTGTGAATTGCAGAACTTTTGTAAAGAGCTCATTGTGACTATTGAAACTTCTAGTTAGACTGCATAGTTGTGTAGTGTTTGCATAATCACATGTGTTTGGTTTCAAATGTCCCATTTGATTTTTTCTTTCTTGCCTTTCTTTGTTTTGATTTATTAATTTTGTCGTGATTTTTTCCTTGAAGTCGTGTGTCAACATCGCCATGGGATTTTTATCACCTGAAAATGCATCAGAGTGCATCAAGTTGATCAATGAAATCCGTGTTCTTCCTAATAATCACAAGGCAAAACAAGGGAACTTAGAGGTAACCGTTTTTTTTAGTATTCCTTCTTAATGTCTTTTTCTTTTGAGTGAGTGCTTTGGTTACTCATTGTGAGCGTTGGATCAGGTGGAGAAAATGACGATATGCAGTATAGACGAAGCAATAAAAGAAATATACAGATTGCGGAGTGAAGAAGGAAGCCGTTGATGTCAATATATAAATGAGGTAGAACTTAAATGGGTGGTTTAGCAAGGAATGTAGGTTGTTTTCTTTGTGTGTATTTAGTAGTAGGTTTTGCTGTTTAGGCTATTGATCTAATGATAAAAAGAAGGGGATCTTGTTAATTGAGGTACTGTGCTCGGGGAGGGTGTTGTTGACCTGCTTGTTACAGCAGATTCAATTCAAATTATTGAGGTTGATCTAGCAGGGTGTATTATTCTTCTTTTAGTAGTGTAAATAATTGCTAGGTGTTCATTTTGGTGCTCATTTGGGTACTTTTGTGCTCCTGGTTTTTTGTAGATCCATTGTATCCAAGTTATTCTCATTATTTTGGCTATCAAGTAAATTGATGTCCAAAATGTTTCTGTATGAAATTGCAACCAGTAGATGAAGGGCATTTTGAATCGAGTTTTGGTATGACTCTTTAACATAAACATTCATTGTCTAATGTTGTTTAAGGATTCTGGACTTAAACGGTGGATGTAGTATGCAAACAATCAGGATGTAAATTGAAGTTATGGCTTAGAAATCTGCTTTCATGACATGGGGTCATGGATTTAAGCATTGATGATCATTGATTGTATACTTATTGGTTTCTTGCATAATTGCAAAAAAATTGTAAATAACATGCCTCGTGAGTTTTTTTTTTTTTTAAAAAAAAAGAATATAAGATACTTCTACAAAAAGTTGTGCTAACTATGTACATCGACTTGGCACTCGCTTATCCATATCAGACACAGGTATGTGTTCAAGTGTTTGAGTTGGATATTTTGTGAAAAAAATCCATGATTTTGAACTAAAAGTGAAGTATCCAAGTGTCATAAAAGTGAACTAAAGGTGAATTGTCCATGTAACATAGCTTAATCTTGAAACAAGTGATTAGACAAAGTTACTTATTTTTCAAAACAAGAATATGACAAAAACTTAATTAAAGGGTTACATATTTTAAAAATTATGGAACGTTTGACTTACCATTTCGGCATTTCCCATGTTCTTTGACTAGTTACATCTAATAACTCATGTCCATATCACTATTATTAGTTTATCTTTAAATCCACCAAATTCAACCATGGATGAATGCAAGTGATGGCTTGCAGCCAGCAAATTAAATGCCAGTGACATAGATATGATGATCCAGATCCAGATATCTGAACACAACCGATTTTTTTTGTTCCTATTCCAATGTTGCATCTATAAGGAGGTTTGCGTGATATAGGCACGTATAGGATCCTCTCCCTCCAAATGTGCCCAACTGCCCAAGGAACTAAATCGTTTGCCTTTTGCTGTATCTCCGATACTTTTAGGACATATTCGTTCACCTGCACTATACGTACCACATAGATAAAATACCTATAAATCCACGTAAAGCTCTAGCTTGAAATTCACAAAAAAAATTGTTTATTTTTTTAACTGCAAATAAGTCAAAAATTTAAAGCTTTAATCGACAACTTAATGTTGAAAACTCTACTACAGAGGGTCAAAATGAATACAGAATGTATTTGAATATGTACACGCCAATTAAATGTAAAACAAGAAACCCTTTTCCCGGGAAACTTTTACAGGTGCTACTCTATATCAGTTGAACATCAAAACTCAAATTAAAGTTGAAACAAAAGAATATATATGGGACCAAGACTGGAGAAGCGAGAAGAAGGATGATCGAACATGACCTAAATTAATTAAAGCTTATTTCTTATGGAAACTATGTATAGTATATGATCCATCAAAATTTTTAGCAGCAGCTAGTAGTAGCAAGAAGCAAATTTTTATGGGGCCATAAGCCCTTCAATAGTGTATGAAAGAGATTTTGCCCAATCAGCTTTGAACAACAAAGTTTGAAGCGTGTGCATCACATTATAATCTGGATCGAGCTTCCGCTGCCAACCCTACAATGAAGAGAGAAGACACACAATACAGAAAATTACAACATTAAAAGATTTAAGAGTAACGAGCTATTTCAAATAAAAATGCAGTAGTCATAGTTAGCCCATCCTCTTCCTTCTCTGATTAGAAACCATCCAATCTTAAGGGTTTCTCTTTTGAAATAACCTTATTTAGTCAAGGAAACCCAAAATGCCCCTAGGATTGGATCTTTATTACCCATTTATATGATGGATTTATCATCCCCTAAGTCCAAACACAAACCCCTACGGCCCTACCTCACTGACCTAACAGAAAAGAGAGAAGAATATGTTGTTCTGATTCCTAATAGTCTGAAGATGCAGATAGTTTTCACACTAAAAACTTAAGTTGTATAGCATGAACACCTAGTTGATTGCCAATAAGACAGCAACAATGTAAGACACCTCTCACCCACTTCTTCCCCTTACGCCATGTAGCAGCTCATTTCTCACTTCATGTCCTGATACAACCTGATATAGGCTTTTTGACCACATGATTCCTGAAAACACATCCTAACAGAAACCCATAAACCAGGTACTTGTATACACACTTTCATCCATTTGTTGATGACTTGAACGCGCCATTTAGCAACAACATTTGTAAGTGTTTCCTCATTTATTTGTTCAAACTTCCAAAATACTGTTCTACATCATCGCTACTCTAGTGCAATCTTAGTGGAACATACACAACAACAGATTACATGTGACAATCCTTTGGTCGAAATGAAATAGAAACTAATAACTTTGACTTGTAGCATATAGAGGAGAAATTCCTCCCCTACATTCCCAGAATGTAGTATTTTAGAGTAAATAACCTAAACTTAAAAGCCAAAGGATAGACCAAACAAAGTTTCAACAATTTATTCAAATTATAATGGTGCAGGATCATGGGCTTGGTTTTAATTGGAAGGTTCAATTCAAACATAATACGAAGTAGATAATTTGTACAAGGACAACTTAAGAAAAATATAACATTTTCAAGCCACAGATATACTACTTGTATTTGAAATGTAACTAAGTATGAATGCCAAAATAAAGATAAGTCAAAGTAGACACATTCCCTGTTTATTCAATACAAGTAGCCAGGATAAAGTGGTTACCTCAAGGACCAAAGTAGTCACAATTACAGTGCACACATCACCATCAATGTTCACCTTGTGATGTCTAACTTGCTCAAGTAATTGTTGCATGGCATCCGCTGGATGAACCAAGTCACCTTCTGGAGTAGCCCAGAAATCGAAAGACTTTGTTACCTCCTGTAAATATGCAAACTAAAGTTTAAATTTTGCTGCATTTGCTAAAATGATATCCAGGCAAGACAAGGATGTATTTGTAGCTGTTTACAACCCCATTTCCAAGAAAGGGAGAAACAAAGTCACATTTAGATAGAACAGGCAGGGAAAACCTAAAGCATATCTTCACCATATAGTCAGAACACACAACAATTAGCCCTACCCAAATCAGAAGATTCTGATTAGAGGATTAAGAGCTATGTATGAAACCTGAAATATTATAAGCTATACACCAACCCAGGTAATGAAATAAGGAACTACAATACAACTTACGGAAAGAGTCACTTTGTAAGAGAAAGAGCTACAAAGAATGGCAATGTACTTGCCAAGGTGAAGAGAAATCTAGGCTTGTTCTCAGTAATTGATTGTTACTGAACTCTTACCAATTTTATTATTATTACTACCTTTGTTTCATTTTATTTGCAACAATGTGACATTCACCAACATCTAGGTAAAATTTATTTGTGAGTGATAAATGGAGAGAGAAAAATAAAGTTGCATCTGATGAGGAGAGAGATGGAAAGAAATGAAAAGGAAAGAAAACATTTGTTGCAAATAATTTGTAGTATCTATTTATGGTATATGTTGCAAATTAATTGAAACGGAGGTAGTATTATATATATATATATATATTTCTGATGTGAATTGAAATTTGCAGACAGAGATGACTTTTTTTTAACCAAAACTATATTTTGCTTATCAAAAAAGACTTGTAATTGCTTCACCAGTGCTCTAGTCATAGCTGAACCAATTTTCACAGATTGAAACTAGATTTGCTTATCAAAATTCTTTTTTTAATGATCCAAACTAATTATTACTAAAACTGTATAGCATAAGCTGGAGAGGGCAGGGTCTTAGAAAATTCTTTTTTTTTTTTCTTTTTTAATAAAGTATTATTTACTTCTCTAAACATGGATGATAAGTGGAAGCTAGCTAAAGTTAATCAACTTTCCCTGAAATTGAGCAATTAAGCACAAGGGAACATATCTTTCATCAATTGAAAGAACAAAATTGACTTCTCTACTTAAACATTATCAAGAACCAAAAGATCACATTCCCTTTAGTATAGTGTTGCAGAGGGTATACAAGTGATTAAACTTTCAAGACCAATGGTATTAGTCTTCACACAAAAGCAAACTACAACAGAAAGATGTGAGTTTCTAGGAGTAACCAAATAATATCATAATTTGAACCTTAGCTGCGTTACGAAAGTAAGAGTTAAAGAAGTAAACAAAGAACCTGTATGAACGCCTCTGGATTCGGACAACTCTGTCGTTTTGATAGTTGAAGGGTGCGCTCAGCTACAGTGCGGCCATCCCGACGAGCAACAGCCTTAAAAAACTCCAACAGAATTATACGGTCATTTTTTGAAAGCTCGGCAGTCATGCCTACATCAATAAAAACGACATGAGGCTTCGATTTTGCCCCTGCTTTACGCTTGCCATGTTTCAACCGGACAAGAATATTTCCAGGATGCATGTCTGCATGGATGAAGTTATCCACCTGCAACAAGGAACATTTAGGCTTACAAGACTTCCCTGAATAACCAAAAGGAATAAGGCCACTGGTCTAGCAGACACCGTAAACAAGAATTTCCACTACATGTAAAAAGACTCGAGTAGTAAAAAAAAAAAAAAAACAAAACAAAACAAAAGTTGCCAATAAAAATGGCTGACCTTATGGACCACATAACTTAGCCTATAAATCATCCTCAAAACATATCTTAAAATTACCAATCAAATAGACAGATTCTTGAAGTAACAGACACATTACACTGCAAATCAACTAAAGAAGACATAAGATATTTGAAAATGTTGATAGCTTCGTGAAGACAAACATAATACATAGTTTTGTTTACCAATAGCATCTTCAGAAGAGCATGGGTGCCGATGTGAGCCAGAGAAGTTTTAAAACGTTCATGCCCATCAAACCCATCAACATAATGTGACACACTTTCCCCATGCTCAAAGGTTTCAACCAAAACTGCAGGATGCACTAGCGGATAGAGAGGTTTTGGGAAGGATACATCTCTCCATCTCCGGAAGTTGTATATAAACCGATTAAGATTTGCAGCTTCCCTGGAAAGATCAACCTGTGACATCATAAAAGTGGCAAATTGCTGGACACTTTCATCTAGTCTCAACCACTTTAGTGTAGGGATAAGTGTGGATATTCTTGCCACTGTGTTTATTATAACAAAGTCCCTTCTGATAGAATCACCAACTCCTGGATGCCTAACTTTCACTGCAACTTCAGTGGGTTTGGTCTTTTGGCCAGGGTGTCGAAAGCGCAAAACAGCCCGATGCACCTGGGCAATACTTCCTGATGCAACAGGCTTCTCATCGAAACTCTCAAAAATCTCGGTAATTTTACGACCAAAGGCTTGTTCCACAGTTTTTTTTGTATAAGCATAGCTGTGCTCTGGAGCTTTAGAATGAAGCTTTGCAAGCTCAGAACATAAATCTCTTGGGAATAAATCAGGTCGTGTAGCTGCCCACTGCCCCCATTTTATAAATGCAGGGCCAGCTCTTTCCAGGGTACGATGCACAACATGAAGCCAAAAACTTCTGAATCGAGGTCCACAACTATCTGCAAATGGAGCCATGGCTATGCTGGGTGAAAATAATAATGCCAGATAAACAACTCTTAGCAACAAAATAAGAACCTCTAGTACGTTTGAAATCAACCTGCTCATGTACATATGTCCATCTTGTGCCCGCGTATAAACAGTGTTACTAGAGGAAAAATAATCTGATTCAGCATGTGATCTTTGGGTTAGAGCTAACTCTCCAAATATTAAAGTGAAAATTCCCGGCACCAAAAGGTGGGATTTGGTTAAGGCTATGCTAAATACTCCAGCAGCCCTGCTTATGGTAGGAATTGTTGAAGTGTAGGAAGAACGTATCTTTGTAATCCTTTTCCAAGCATTTTGAGCATGATGTGCCACAGTGTTACTTGCATACATTGAAGAATAGTTCCTAGGAGAGCCATTCTTGTAAAGGAATTGCAGATGTTTATACGAAGTATTAGGCATATATCCTGAATGATTATGTCTGAACTGTGAATACAATCTATATTGTGGTAAACATGGCTGGAAGAGGGGGTATGTTCCATCCCTTTTCAATCCAAAATTGCTGCTGCCACGGGTTTTTAATAAGGAATGTGTGGCCCTCCTAATGTTTCCAAACATCAAAATTCTGCAACCAAACAACGAGTTTGACCAAATTAAGCATGACCATATCACTTGTTGTCAAGTTAGCATCATAAATACATTCTATAGCTTGGCCTAAACCAGTAAAGCATGCAGTTCAGTGTCAACAGAGCAATAATAAAGAAGAAACATACATCTCCAAATGATAGAAAAGAAGAAGCGTGCCAAAAGGTGGAAACAGGAGAGGAAATCAAAATGTCCAATGCCCCTATCAATCTCCCCAAATGTGTAAAAACTTCATTGGCATTCCATCTTGTTCCGAATAAACAGAATGTCGGGGAGGACCAACACTGCCGTTACATTATCCGAAATCATATGATAAAGCAGAAACGCAATCAGACAATGTCAGGTAGCAACCAATAAACGCCACTCCTAGCACAAGCATGACTATGTCAGCTGCGAAACACAAGAGTAAACTCTAACAATTTGCTTGGATAGAGAAATGGGAAGGAAAAGAAGAGAAGAGAGAGGAATGGGTGGGAAGGGAAGGGGAGGGGAGGGAGGAATGACGAGTTTTCCTTCCAAATCTCTCCATTGTTGGAGAGATCAATTTCTCACAATTTATTTCCTCCATTTCTCTCCCCTCTAATTCTCTTCTTTCCTCATTTGTTATCCAAATGAAAGATAATCCTTCCCTCCATTTCCCTTCCCTTCCCTTCCTTTCCCTCCATTTCCTTCAATCCACACAAAGTGTTAAGCAAACCTTCGAGATCAGACTCCTTGTAAACCAAACTAAGAGCAAGTACTATACTACTTAGTGTTCAAACAGATAGACCTAACAAGCACACACTGATGTTTGTAAAACTAAGGTAACTAGAGCAGAACAGTCAAAACCACATTCGAGCACTAAATATATAAACTAAGTTCGGCTGGCAAAACTTAAAAACTACAATGGTCACTCACTCAAGACAACCTAGCTAACACATAAAGCTGTAGTCAAAAAGCCAAATCACAATATACCAGAAACTACCAAATCCACATTTTTTTTCTTCTTCATTAATGGATTGCATTTCTATTTCCCACAGCCTTTTTCAATTCCTCGAACATAGAGATAGCTGAGTAGCTGGCTATATTACTAATTCCCAGCATATACAAATCATTCAAGCTGAATTAGAGCTAATATCTTATAATAGCAGCTCAAATATAAAACGTAATGTGAAATTGGTTCTTTTTTTTAATCATGCAAACACATCGAATCTTGATTAAACAAGGTATCTAACATTTCAATCACAAAACTCAATTAATGAACAATAAAATCTTCCCACTAACCAAAAAACAAAACCCCACAAAAATCTCAAATTTGTTACCTATGCTACACCCAATTCCCCAAACCCAAATCAGAAATAAGGGCGCAAAATCTACAATACAAAAAGCAAAAACAAATCATGAAAATTGCAAACATAATAATGGGAAAAAGGAGAAAAGAATTGACCTTGACATTGGAGGAGCAAAATAAGGAAGATGGGTAAAGAAACTAGAAGAAAAAAATGGAGGGAAATTTGAGGAAAGAGCATTTTCTCATGTCGATTAGCTTGATGAAGGGGAAATCTCAGGATTTGAGCACGGCCCGTGTCAAGCAGGTCGACGGCCAAAGAGAGAGGAGAGAGAAAAGAGGTCGGTGCGAGGGAGAGAGGCGTTGCTGGTGCTGTTGTGTGTTGGGTGTTGGTGGGCTTGTATGGTCATTTTGTTTGAAGCGTGGGCCGCAAGAAGTCGCAATTTATGCACCGTGTCTCTAATTACTTTAATAAGGGTTTTAACGTATAAACGAGTACTCATACTTTCTTCGTTCTTTTAACTTTAACATTACTCTACAATATGTGTATTTTTAACACTATTCACACACTTATTTAACCGTTTATTGTGATTTATATAGGGGGAAAATATACTCGATGGTTGTATAAGGTTCGAGTTAAGCTTTGAAAAAACGTATTCATTTATCATGTTGCAGTATTAAAGGAACGAATGAAGTATTATATTAGCATTGAGAGTATTATATTTTAAAAGAATACATATAAAATAATAGCATTATAGATATTTTAAGTAGACACATAACTCTTCAAAGCCTTATACTCCATATGATGTACTCCGTATATAATATACTTACTACTATTTTCTTATAAAAAATTTACTTTTTGTCAATAATGTCAACCCTTTTTTAAGTTTTGACTTGAGACTTGATTATGTCTATCATTATTGACCTTTCCTTTTATTTTTATTGGGAGTTTGCTCTTTAATTGTCTCCAAAGGCTATTTGGTTGGTTTCCTTTTCTTTTTTCTGTAAAGTATGTGATTGTTAACAAAATTTGGATTTAAATTTATACTTGTATAGGTTAATAGGTAGCTATTATGAACATTAGTAGGCAAAACAAGTAGTATTACTTTCAAAAAAAAAAAAAAAAAAAGTCGTGTATGTGTTAATTCAAAATGTAAATATATACTCTTGAATCTTGATCTATGCTACAAGTAAATATTCTAGATTACGATAGCTTATTGAGCATTTTATAGTAAAATCTCAATCTATTAACTATTATTAAAACAAAACATTGCTGACATCATTAACCCCTAAACTATCCTATCATTCTTACATTAAATTTTTCCCTCCATTTTTATGTGTGATGTCATCAATTATTATTTTTTTTTAATCTAACACCATACATTTTTCAAACAAAAAAAATAATTGCCACTTTTTTTTTTTTTTACACAAATGATAAAAACAATTTCTTTTTATGCATAATAATAAAATTATAGAAATCGTGCAATGCACGAGTCTAATCTAGTTTATTTCTAAACAAATCTCAATTATATTAAATACTCATATTAAATATACTTGTATATTTATTTTATTTTATTTTATTTTATTATATTTTATTTTTGACAAAGGTACTTCTGTATTTTACCAATTTCATATACAAACAAAATAAACAACATTTTTGACAGATTCAACATCAGATATAGTCACATAAATATCACACGTAAATTACATTACTACATACACTACTACTAATAATTCTAGTTGTCTAAGATAACCAATTCAACTACAAGTCCAAATCATGTCATTAACTACAAGTACAAAACTTCCTTTATTCCATGTATAACAATGATAACATTGCCTTTTTATGATATTTTACACAGATCAACTAAGCTTAACTAGAAACTAGTAAAGCCTAATCATGATTTAGCTAGTAATTCGATCAATTGTCGTAAGCTATGTTAGCTTCTTTCCGGGAGTTAAAGAAGAGGGCAGCAACCGGCTGTCCGAGGTCATTATGGGCAGCGAAATGGCGGGTATTGAAATTTCCCCGGGCGTATTCTGGGGAAGTGGCCTAGGCTTCACTAGAGGCCCCTTCTGTTTGTACAAAGCAAACACATAGCGATGCTTCCCTGTAGATGGCTGCGGTCCCATGTACTCGACCAACGTTCTTCCTACTAACCAATAAACACATCAACACAAGTTAACACAACACAAAATATCGAACGCTATATATCAAAATATCGAACGCTATATATTATGTACTTACATATATATCCTATATATGCGGTACGTCAAATAAAATTATAGAACAGCAATTTATTTTATACGGAGTAACGTAATAAACGACCACGTACCTTTAGAAGCATCCATTCCTTGAGGAATATCCACAACAATCCTACCACAAATTTAAGTGACATGATCAAATTAAATTTACAAAAGCCTCCTATTTAAGTATTGCAAGAACTTATGCTCCAAAACAATCAATTCCTAGGCGCAATCATTTACTCATCCTAATAATTTGACTTGGCGCATAATCTCTTAGAACAAAATTAGACAATTATTTTACGGTACTGGATAATTTGTATGAAACACTTAAGTAGCATATAGACAACATCCAGAGATAATATTTTAATTATTTAATACGGAGTATGTTTGATTATTAATTAATAAGTTGATAAGAACAACTCCAATGACAAGTTAATTGTCAAATTAGCTTGTCATGCCATATACACTTTTGAGCTAATTATCATTTTAGCTCATTTGAGATCAAATGCTAACTATTAGCTTACTATTGAAATGAACCACACCTCCTTAATTTACGTTTCAAAATTTAATTTTATTTATTCTAATTTGTTTTATTTTAGCAAGTTTTTTTTTCCTAACAAATTAGCTTTGCTTAACCAAACTAATTGCATTTTCTAGCTCCAATAGTCAAGCTAGTAGCTAGAGATTATTTAATATTACAAGCAAGTTCCTAACTACAATCATTGGAGTTGCTCTAATTGCGGAGTACAATGATTTTTAAAAATAGCATATAAATTAAATTATTGTAATTTTGGACTTATAAAAGATAATAATATTATGTAATATAATTATGGAAAAGTTAATTATAATAAACTTGGATAGCAAAAAACTTACCAATGAAGCCAATCCCTTAAGGTTGGATGAGTAGGATTAGGAGCATCCGGATCAACCATAATCTAATATAACAATAAGTAAAAAAATCGATTAGCGAAATTGAATTGATCATACTAGACATAGAATACTCATAAAATAAAAATGATAAAAGGTTGATAAGATATTAGGAAATAATTAACAAGTTGATTAAAATACACTAACTAGAAAGATCATCGGAATGAGGGTTATGAGATGTCACTTGAAGATGAGGCCTATTTTTGGCTTCTACGGGCTTAATTTTGCACCCGTTAGAGACCGCTTCGGACCCGTATTGAACCGTTAGCTCAGCTTCCGGAGTAAATGGCTTGAGTACATCTCCGATCACTTTTCCGGCTATTAGGATCTCCGGTGTTTCAGCCATGTCTTCTACTAAATATTGCTAGGTATGTATGATGTTTGCCAAATGCTTAATTTTTTGAAGTTAGTTTTCTATATAACAAAGCTTATTAGATATGTACTATATATGCATGTTACGAAACTTTAGGTTTTTGATTATTTTTATTTGACGGGTAACACGTTATAGAATATAGTAGAAATCAAAAGGGTGACATTTGGATTTCTGAAATCTTCTGATAAATGCCTTGTATAGTTGTATGAGTTGTATCATTTTTTTTAACTTTTATTTGAGGTTCTTTCGGATTTGTGGCTAGCAAGTTTGCTACTTTTCATTTTTGCTATATTTATTAACTTCAAAATAATATTATAATTAAGATAATATCTATTCAAGACAAACTCTAGTCATACCGTGTAGTCAACCATCATAAGGGTTACTTCGTTAGTATTATTAGGGGTTACTTGATCAGTATTAAAAAAGTTTCTTTGTCAATGTTATAGGGTTAATCAGCCAGTATTGCACGGATTACTCGGTCAGTATTACAGGACAATCGACTAATATTATAAGGATTAATTTGTGATTTTACAAGCGACCACATAGTGTGGCCAGCTGTATACAAAACACGCTATTCAAGACAAACTTTAAGGCACAACTAAAAGTATTAGTTAAATTACTATATATGCATACATTATTACACATGGACGAATTATGAACTTCAAGATATTTGTTTGAGCTTACAGATGTCTTTTCTGATAAGGATGTAATGTACTTGTAACTTTGTAAGTTATTATAACAACATTTGTTTATGAATAAAGCCTGCCATTTTAGAGCTCCTATGCAATATTAACTGGGCTTGGTATTAAAAACTTGGCCCAAACTATAATTCCAAGCCCTTTTAATAGGTATGCAAATAGCCCTATTGCATAGGCTCTCTAAATTGAAAGGGCCCAAATTGTTACTTTGTATAACCTAATTTGAGTAATTTCTCTTTTTGTTTTCAAAGTTTACTACTATTTTTTATAGGAAAATTAATAAAAAAGGTCACAATTATAAGCATTCTTCTTTACAAGATATGAGCTTTCGAATAATTAAGAATAGTCCCAACTATACTAATATATTCTCAAAACAGTCCTTAGTTTACAATGACCAGGTATGCCGGTTACTAATACCACATGTCACATTTCTATTGAGAGGTTAATGTTTGTAAATAAACTTTAAAAAAAATAATTAAACCCTCTTCTATCTCCACCAGCTTCACCATAACCCCATCGCCGTTAGACCACTGACCACCCACACCATTCAGGGCATCCACCTTCACTACCCACGCCTCCATTACCAAAAAAAACCCATCCAAATTTTCAGTCTTGAGTACAGACCCGCTACTAGCATCTCCACTACCACGATCACTTAAACCATAACCCATTTTGCCGCTTCGACCAAACCCAAACTTGTACCCAAATTTGTTTAGATTTTGCCTAAATTTTGTCATTAATCAAATTTAATAAGGTGTTATACAACCTCATTAATCAAAATTGGGGAAAAATTAAGGGTTTAAGTGAGGTGGGGTCGTGGGGAAGTGGGGTGGTTTGGTAGTTGTTCTTAAGCGGTGGTCGCTGTGGTGCAGGGGCAGTTGGTGGCAGTTTTGGCAGGGGACGGAGGGAGAAAAGACGGAGGTTGAAGTACAATAGTGTTTTAGCAGGAAAGGGTGCCCGGAGAGAGGAGGTAGACGATAATGATTTTGTGGTGGGTGGCCGCCGGTGGTAGTTTTGGCAGGGTATTGGTTGGAGTGATTTGTGATGAAATGACACAATGAGTGCAACAAAAAAAAATATGAAAAAAAAAAGAACCATTGAAACAATGAGACTTGGTCCATTTGACCTGTTTAGCAGGTTAATTCAGGTAACGGACCATTGGAAGAAAATAGTATGATAGTTCACTCTTAGTTATTCAAAAGTTGAGACCTTTTAAAGAAGGTCCCCCTACTTGAGACCTTTGTTATTAATTTTTGCTTTTTTTAAAAGTAAAGTTAATTCATTATTATATACTACCTCCGTTTTAATTATTTGCAACAATTTGATATAAAGTGTACTGTGAGTAAAAAATGTCTAGTTATTGCAAATAATTTGAAACGGATGTAGTAAGTAGAATATAGTCTTTGAGAACTTCATAGCAAAGACATGTTTCCTTCGTAATCTTCTTCTAGAGTTTCATTGTCCCATGCGTGAGGCTACCCTTGCTGGTTTATTTTGACAAGGTATTGATGTTCACTTATCTTGCAATCCTGTTCAACATTAGAGGACAACACATATAGAGATAGATGTACCTTTTAGTCGTCAAAGGGTTGCATTTGGTCATGTTTGTATGTTACATGTCCCTTATCATAATTTCACAAAAGGTTGGACACGACAATTGTTCCTTAACTTTAAATTTAATCTTAGGGTTCATACTCCATATTACTCTCATATACTCTATTTGGTTCTTAACCCCTATAATATTGGTTTATAATGAGAATACTCCAATCAAGGAAAATTATATTGTTCTACAAATATTAATAATTAAAATTATATATTGACAAAAATGAAAATCAGAATTAGCTACTCCGTACATTGTTAAACCGATAAAGTAATTATTACTTTGGCAATTAATAATTTACAAAGATCATATTCAACTTTTGGTGCTTGTAAAATGATCATTCTTAATTATAGGAACTGTAGACACACTCACGCGTATTTACAACTGTACAAGCATTGGATAGAACAAAATAGGATAAATAATATCTGATATTGTAATTCAGCGCGCAAACTTTATTAAATTCTGTGGATTCGCTCGACTGAGTTGTCCGACTTCGGCGTAGTCGGTTTCAGGTAATCTTTCTCCAGTTTTTTCAGTTTATTCTACTTTGGTTTGATAGCAATTTTATTATTAAGTTTGATCGAATTTTCTACCCAAAAAAAAAAAAAAAAAAAAAAAAAGGAGTGATTGAATTTTGCAATTTACATCTTAAAAAGTTTTTCAAAAACTATAAAATTCCATATCATATTCCATCTTTTACATATGATAATCGTATGTCCCATATTTAAACAAATTACAAGCATAATATGAGAAAATAATAAAAAATGTACCACCAATGACATTATGTTATAGGATTACATGGTATCCGTATCGTCAGTGACATCATTATGTTATACGACGAAGTAATTATAATTTATAAACTATAAAACTTCCTGTGGTACAATATAATGCATATTCACACATCATAACAAACCACATTATTGGTCTATTACTAGCATAATGCAATAAACTTTGAACACACTAGTGCACACACAGGATCGCATAGAAAAAACAAGTAAATGAGAAACAATAACCTATCTCATTTAGGTAGTAACCCCATCAACACGTACAACATAACCAACTTCAAATCAACGTTTTTTATTTGCAGCCTCTTTCTGAGAGTTGAAGTAAACGGCAGCAACCGGTAAACCAAGTCCGTTTTGTGCAGCAAAATTCCGAGTGCTGAAGTTGCTACGGGCTTGTGGCAGTTGCCACTGCTTCGCGATTGGTCCTTTCTGTCTAAACAACACAAATATGTACCGGTGTATACCGGTGGGCGGTTTTGGTCCCATGTACTCTACCCACTCTTTTCCTGCACATTTCATACCTTACAATGTGTTGGTCCACTAATTAATTATTAGTGACTATCAAATAATTTCCCATGTTTTTTTTTCAAATATAATTTGCGAAGGAATGATTTTTTTCTTTTGGTGGTAAGAACCTAAGGCGGATTGATGAGTATTACCTTATAAATTTCGGTTTGATAAAATTATTTACTACGTACAAATACATGATTGTTATTGGAACAAAAAGATTGAATAAAATGACGTAAGTGAATACAACATCACTAGATAAGTTTAGAATGTAGTATAATCAATAAATAGTTGAGGTCACCCAAAACTGAGCACTGCACCAACAATTGAAATAGGACTAGAACTAACCACGCACCTAAAACTGAGATACGAATTCGAATTAGCCCAAAAGATAAAGCGGATGAAAACACTAAAAATAAATAAATAAATAAATAAATAGTTGAGACTATTTAATTTCCAAATAGTGTTTGTATCTGCATGACTATTATTAGTGGATTACATAGTTTATTTAGTTAATAACTTAGGATGATATCCATGATGTGAGATCGGATCATATTTACGTTATTGTCTTTTACGCCTCTCTACACATAAAAGAAATAAGGATATATAAATTATACTTTGTAGTATATAACTATGAAAGCATATAAAAAATAAGGATATATAAATTATACTTTGTAGTATATAACTATGAAAGCATAGAAAAAGCAAGAGGGATATATAATGATACATTTTTTATAAACCAATATTTTATTGGTCAAGCAAAAGCTAAACTATAAACGCTTGAGGCTACCTAAATCAAAACTTGAACAAGAAATTATCTATCTTAACGAAGAAAAAATGTCCATATACTTGACCCCAAGAGGCAATAAATGACATATGTAATTTCTATACTTCTTTCATGTTTTTTCAAATGTATACAGCACTTTAAGTTTCACGTTTGCCGATTTGGCGATGTAAAACCAATATCATAGTTATTAAAACTAATATAAGTTGATACTTTAAAGTCTACTACTCTAAATCTAACAAGATTTTATGTGCCTATATTTTTCACTATATATAAAGAGGAGAGTACGATAAAGAGTGTGAACTGACATAATACAATAAAAATTAAAAATATATATTTAAAAAATGAAAAATATTAAGCAATACAACTCAAATGAAGTTGAAGGAGGACGAACCTTTGGAAGCATCCATTCCTTGAGGAATATCAACCATAATCCTGATGAATTAGTCAAAACAACCTCGAATTTATTAATTTCATCGATTAATTGGTAAAAATAAATTATTCTAATCTCTTATCAAAGTTCTCCGTCAATAACACACAACATAAGTACATAAATAAACATGCATGTGTTACGTGTCTAACCAATGAAGCCATTCTTTCATTTTGGGCTCACTAGGACTTGGAGCATCCGGATCAATCATGATCTACAAGAAACAAATTCATATCAATATATAAAATGTGCGCATGAATATTGTACAAACTACAAATTAAAGTTCATTATAAAGTAAAGTACAACTCAATATGATATACGAATATTTATTGCATGATCCTAGGTTGATTATGTACTTGGCCTCCTCTCACCATAATAAACAAGTGACTACCAATTCATTTTAATAGGATATATACAATTTTATACATATTGTAAGAGAATAAATTAATAGTTCGAAACCATGCAATAATTTATATAGCTCTCAATGTAAGGGGGGATTTAAGAGACATTATATTCAATATGCTACATTTTCAAAAATAAATAATAAAATTAAGCATAACAACAATGAAAGTTATATGGATGATATATACGTACTATGGTATAAAAATTATCTGTTGAAGGGTGACCCGAAATTTGAGCAAGAGGCCTTTCAAAGGCAAGTGAAGGTTTGATTTCGCAACCATTGAAAATGTGTTTGGTACCATATTGAACTCGAAAATCCACCATCGGAACAAACATATCAAGAACATCACCAATTACTCTTCCTACAACCAAAGGATCGACTGTCCGTCTAACCATTGTTGTCATTTTAAGCTAATAATTATAAATTCTATTTTTTTTTTCTTTTTTTTTTTTGTTTACCAAAAATTGTAAGTTTCCAGATATTTTTAGACATGGTCATATAGTAGGTAGCTTACATATATAGTAACTATATACATGTCGCTGAGTGGACTTTGCTAAGTGGCTTCAAATGAGTGACAGGTAGCACTGGAGCTAAGTGGTTGACACGTAGTATACTGAGTTCTACTGAATGTTGAGTTGGACACGTGTGGGATATCCGAGGATGTTCTGTCTCTTTAAACTGTTTTCATAGTAGCAGTGCGCACCTGCCGTCTTTATGATGTAACGCAAATTATATGTATCAGGTCGTTATTATACACACGGAGTAATAAACTCGTATAAAATATTTCTAGTGCTTGTTTGGTACAAGTACTTTGGAAGTTTGGATATCAACGTGCATCTGGCCACAATGTCGTCTTATGTATTGGAAACACATAGGAGGGTATAAGGGTAACGAGATATTTATAAAGGTACGAGAATTATATACCATAGAGAGATGGTGGAATCATATTTTAAAAAATGCATTTTGATTCTGAAAAGTTGACCCTTTTTCTAAAATATTCAACCCTAATTTAAATTTTACATCTTTTACTATTATTTTTTCCATTCTTTTTTACGTGACCCGCTTTGACTTTTACACTATTTATCACCTCTTTTTTGATCGTTTTTTGTAAATAATATGTAAAAAAAAACATATTCATGTGGGATATTTTTTAATTCGTTTCAATAAGTACTATCATAATATATAACTTTTATAATTTTTACTTATGGAGAATTAAAGTTATTGATCGTTAAAGTTTTGCATTGACAAGCATGATAAAAGAAATAGATCAGGTAAAAAAGAATAGAGGAAGTATATAATAAGGTTTTGATCTAGATAACCCTAAAATTTAATTATAGGGAGCATATTGTTGTCAAAAAAAACAAGAAAAAATAATAAATAATAAACTAATGATATGTTTTGCTGCAAAACAAAACAGTACATATCATTAGTTTAATATTATGTTTTGTTTTGCAGCAAAACATATCCTTAGTTTAAACTAATGACATGTCGTAGGCTAAATCTCACACATAACACAAATATATTATTCATTCAATCTACCATATCATTTACAAAATAATTAATCTAAAACAACTACCAATATACACACACATAAGTGACATAACCTAAAATAGGCTGGGAGTACTTTAAAAGTGATCGATGATGTTTATAACCAACATCTCCTGTTCATTAACACAGGTATACATGATTGTTCTACTTCTGCTAAAATTATACATATATACAAGTGCTAAAATTATTAAGTTAAATATCATACATATTACATATAACACATTAACACGCTAACTTAATTAGGGTAAAGTTAATTAAAAAAAGTTATTCCACCAAAAATAAAGTTCAAAAAGTTGTTATCATATCATCCACTAACATATTACATATATCAAGGTCAAAAAGTCCCAAATTGAAATGTAAAATAAAATCTATTATAGGAGGTGGCTCTTCTACTTTAATGTTGTTCAATTCATTGACATCCTTTGTCACATAATTTACATTTACATAACTTAATATTAAGATTAGCATAAGGATAATGTTAAATGTAAAATACAATAATTTCGAAGAGAAAAAGTGTTATGCTTTCATTAGTTTGACCACTGTATGTGCCACGTGTAACTCATCAACAGTATCACGCCACATCATTATTCAACAACCTTTAGCATCAAGTCATATCATTAAATTATAAATGCATACAAAGATATTTGAACACCAAACCTCATTGATTAAAAACCACATGAATTACCATCTTAACTAGAAACAAATCATGCTCTATTAATCCAAATTTATATATAAATACATATAAGTATTACAATGTAGAATAAAAACGAGAAAAAAAAATCCAAAATACTGTCATTATGTTCTAATTTACTCACAATAAAATAATAATAATAATAATAATAAGTGTTTTAAAACCTCTAATATAATAAAAAAATTATTTAAAGTGTCGTACCCGGAGCAAAGCTCGGGTAATACACTAGTTACTTAATTAGAAGTTAGAACTTGTTGTGAAACTTCCGTCAAAGGAAATTACTCATTCTACTAATTGGTGGTGATATAAATGAATGTATGTATGCATCATAAAGTGATAAGTGATATGTGGAAGTTCCACGTACGCCAAATGGCAGTATGAGGTACCACTAACAGCCTCATAAGATCACTTAATATAATTAGTTCACTCTTGGCCTGTTTTGCACAGGTTGAATAAAAATACCAAAAATAATTTAAAGTACTTACATGTATAACTTTGTCATTTGATAAAATGTTAATGTTAAACAATCTAACTTTTAATTGTAAGATGAAAACAAAGCAAAAATTGTACACAAAACTTCACAACAAAACCATAGCATATATTTAAAAAAAAAAAAAAAAAAAAAAAAAAAAAAAAAAAAAAAAAAAAAAAAAAAAAACTTTGAAAAAGGATTAAAGGGAGGGAAGATGAGAGTTTAGAGAGGATGACACAAGTTGTCAATAGTGGTTTTTATTTTAAAATCCTACTACTGGTTATACTTTATAGACTAGCTTAGTAGTTATGAATTATTATTAATAAATTATATTCATTCTTCGAGGTAGAATTTCGAAGTAACAATAACACAATACACATTGTGATTGTTTTTCATGATGCGCGTATATAACAATATACGAAACTACGTATGAAGTATCTAGCATAAATAAATTTTACTTCGTATTAGTTAGGGTACCCCTTCCAATTCTCCAACTTAGCCATGATGAATAAATAAAAACTAAGAACTCAAATTTTAGAGTTGAAAACCGTAGCAATATTTATTTATTAGTATGGACAACTTACACAATGTTGAGAAAAGTACAAATAGGATTGAAGTTCACGTGTATATAAGTTTGTAACCGGTTAATGCAATTTACCAAGTACAATGATATATATGTAGTACAATAATGTGTATTATTATATTTTATAAATTTTGCTATATAAGAATTTCACGTATTGTGAACAATGGAAGTAAGAATCAATAAAAGTTTTCTATCATATTACTTGCTTTCTATCCCTTCACTAATAATTCCTTTACTATCGGTAAAACTTTAACACGTTATCAGCACGGATTCCTAACCAGGTTTAGTTATACCTACTTCTCAAAGTTATAACAAATAAATACTATCTACTTCTAAATGTTTTGAGGAGTATGCTCTATAGTTGCCCATATTTTGGGATCCTCTATACCAAAAACTCAAACATTTACTGTATTAAAACAACGGTGGAGAAATTCTCTTACTTATGAATTCATTACTATTATCCCTTGTTTTATTCATGTTGATTGTTTTTTGTTTGATTCATGCATGTTGATATTACATTCTCATCTTTTACTTAAAAATTTGATTTTAGTTATTATAATTGCTTAGTAGTAACTTTGCATGCATATTATTAACTAAATTGACAAAAAGATGAAGCCTTTTTATACTTATTATTTTTCTTTCTTTTACGTACTTTTTGTGTTTCTTTCCGTTTCGAACCCATGAACTTTTGTAGATATTAGGGTTCTCGGACCACTATGGCTTGCATTCCCAGTGTGATAACCTTTTACAATTATAAATATTTATATTTGGACCATAATTTTTCCATTAAATTAGACTATTATATGATATTTTAACAGTTGAACAAAATAGTAACGGATAAATTTACCTCTTTAAAATGCAGATTTTCCCCCGATTTCACCACAAATCCCTTATCCTTTCCCAATTTTTTTTTCCAAAAATCACCTAAAATTTTTCACCCCCCTTCTTCTCCGATATGTTCCCTGACGACGGCAACCAAAACACTCACACCTTCACTTTTGAGGAAGATTTAAGGAAGATAAAACAATACTTTCTTCTAATTATGGCACTTGTAGTCTTGTTGTTGAATTGACTACCTTAATATTTTGATGAATGACATACATAAAACAAACTCTGACTAATGATGTTTATAAGTCTTGGTTGAACAAAAAGATTCAGGTACAAAACTACATGTTCCGGAGTAGGAACAAAAGAGTTTAGAAGACTTGACGTTATTTGCAAGCTTTCAAGATATCCTCACAAGCTCCAAATACTTAGTATATTATTGTACGTACTTGAGAAGCAAAAGTGTTGGAAGGAACTAATAAGAAACTCGAAGTTCCTGAAGGAACCTGGAGTTCCAGAAGGAACTTGACGTATGACTCAGAAACGATTTTTACGAGAGATTTAAAACGGTTTTCAAAGTCCTTGATTTAAGGAAAAGATAAAATCAGTTTGAAAAGATTTGTTTTACAAATAAATAAAATCTAAATAATTCTTTAATTTAAAAGATAAGTTTATTATAAATTAATTAATTGTTTAAATATCTTTTTAATAAATAAATATTTATCTTTTTAATAAATATTCTTTTAAACTGATTTTGACTTGGTAAAAATTCAGTTTGCTTAAATTAAGGTATCACGTTGAACTTGGGAGACAAGTCAGTGAAACCATGTTTCTCAATTTCCTCAACATAAATCCTAACTTCCTAGTTATGGTGAATGTGGGATTGAGGGGGAAGTGGGAACATGGTTGAGACTTAACCAATCTCCCTATAAAAATCTATCAACGTTGCTGTTTTAAGGTGTGGAAAAACAACTTCAGTTTTCTGAGCGTAAAAAGTTTCTAAGTGTTTTAAAGCTGAGTTCCTTCCATCCTTGAGTTTCTTGAGTGCATTAGGGAAATCCTTGTAATTACTTTGTAATTGGGATTGGGGTTGTGAGAGTTGTTAAGTGTGAGGCTTGAGAGAGTTCTTCATACTGTACAAGTGATTCGGAGTAGAATCACAAAGAGTGAGAAACTGCGATTGAGGGATCGTAGTTGGGTAACTTGAGTTCCTTACGGAACTTGAGTCTAGGCAGAATATTAGCGATTGTAATTCATCTTTACATAGTGAAATTATTCATTGCCTATCTCGAGTGTCTTCTCTCTTAGTAGATAGTTTAATTTCGCAAAATTTTCTATAGTCTACAATTCACCCCCCCCCCCTCTTGTAGTAGACATTGATTTATCACTTGTTAGTAGCAATATTAATTTTTGTCATGATGTACAAGTGAAGCTTGTTTATTTTGTCGTTTTAGTAGATTAAAAGCATGTTTTTGTTTTATTATGTTGTTTTGTTG